CTTAATTCATTGATGACACCATCATAGATCTGTTCAATAATTTTAAGGTATAGAAAACTTAATAAATGTAAAATTCTTTGAAATACTTTTAAATAATGTTTCACTAAGCCATGAAATTATTGATATGCACTATTTTTCATAGAGTTTCATCCTATTTTTGTCACACATGAAAAACATAATTTTATGGACATTCTATAATCAAAAATGTGTTCCGAACAGAGAGTTTCGTTAAATTTAATAATACATGCTGATAGAACTTTTACAAAATGGAAACGGTGTCACAGTACATTCATTACAGAACGCTCAAATACACAAAATATACTAGGTATCGAGGCAGTCTTTATTAAAATCGATTGTGAAATGAAATTCTGCAACATCAGTTGCTGACTAATACATTTAAAACGTACAAAAGAATATGAATACCCTTTTAAATTAAATTTCAATTTAATTAATAAGTAGTGATAATTTTCCGCACCTTTGATATTATAATTATAATTATTCAGCAGAAATGTCTTGTTAAATTGTAAGAGTTGGATCTACCGAGTGATTACTCTAAAAGTGTAAATAATTTTTTAAATTTAAAATTAAGACATTCCTTCGACTAAAATGAACGATTTAATTATAGAATTAATTAGTTATTTAGTTGTTTTAGCCTAAATACCTCATTCTTCTACCCAATTGGGGGAGGTGACTTTATTTTATATCAACATTTATTTTGATTTTTTGGACGCCCTGAAGTCTACATTTTTATTCTCATTTCCTTCAATTATTAATAAATAACTGAAACATAAAATGAAACGAAAAATAAAATTTCAAAGTAATAAATAAAATATTTTTCTATAAAATTTTCGTTTAAGTAAATTTTGAATATTTGAATTGAAAACATTTTAGCTATAGAATAATATTTTAAGTTTCTTGCTATTTCATCTGTATTTTCTAAGGAGCATATTTGCGGCAATAATGAAAATAGAAAAACAATGAAACAATATTTATGGAGATAAAGAAAAACTCAATGGAAATGAAGAAAAACAATGAAACAATGTCTATGGAGATAAAGAAAAACTCTATGGAAATTACGAAAAACAATAAAATAATGTCTATGGAGCTGAAGAAAAACTCTATGGAAATATATAATAAACTGGATAATATGGAAGAAAACAGGAAACAAGATAAAGAAGAACTAATGAAGAAATTAGAAGAATTAAAAGTAGAAACAGATGTAAAATATGAAGAAATGAAGAAAAATTTAAGAATAGAAATGATAGGAAGAATTGATGAAGTAGAAAATGAACAAAATAAGAAATTTAAAATGGTACAAGAAAAAATATCTGCAGATACGGAAAAGATAGTATCGTAGGCAGAGGATCAGGAAAAAAGGATATCAAATCTAGAAAATATAGAAAATAAATCCTCTCAAGAGAAGAGGGATCAAGAAATGAAATTAAAAAGAAAAATAAGTGTCATTGAACAGTGTTGATAGTGTTAAAAGTAAACTTAAAATTGAAAAATAAAAAAAAAGGTCGAGAACGAAAATAAAGCAAATTAGGAAACAAAATAAAGGGAAAAATAAAAGGCAAGATAAGAAAAATAAAATAAAAATAAATGGAAAAAATTCAGAAAGAAAGCAAGAAATAAGATAGAGAAAAACAGGAAACGGAACGAAGGAAGGAAAAAGAAATATAAAAGTCTAAAAACTAAAGTTAATTTAAAAAAAAATGTTGAAGATATAAAACAAACGAAAACGAAAATAAAATGTAGGAAAGAATTGGGAAAGATAATGAAGAATAGAAGATTAACAGAAAAAGAAAGAGTGAGGACAAAGATGAAAGAAAAGTAGTAAAATTTAGATGAGGGACGGAAGGGAAGTTTAAAATTATCTGTGAACTTGGAAATTAAATAGATAAAATTAATAAAATATAGATAGAGCAATGGATTTAGTAATTGTTAGAGCACTAAGAATATCTAATAATAAAAAAGGATATGTGTGGAGACTGGTGTTTCCGTTTGAAGGACCATTTATAGTGGATAATGAGAAAGGGGAAAATAGTTATATATTAAAATATATGAATAATGAAGGAATAAGAGGAATTTTTCATATACAAGATTTATATAGATATGTGTGTTAAATGTTAAATATTTTCTATGTTGTTATTAGTGTTGGTACGTTTTAGTGTTGTATTGTGTTAGTTGTATGTATAGTTACAATAGTAATAGTGTAAATTTGAATGTTTAAAAAATAAATAAGGAAATCAACAGTTTAAATTGATAAAAGGTTTGAAAATTTAAAATTAATATATTTTGAGATTGGGTGTTTATTAGTTATTTGGATAATTTAAAGATAATTATTTGGAAATTTTGTGTTTAATATTATATTTAAGAGTAATAATATGTAAACACTAAATTTGGGGGATTTGATAAGGGAAATTCCCAGATAACGAAATTTGAAATTATTATGTCAAAATTGAAGTTAGCAAAGCTGGACGATTTAGAGTCTAGAAAATTTTTATTGTGAAAGTATCAAGGATGTTGTTGTTTGATTTTTAAGATGATAGATGGTCATACAAATTTTAAGATTTCAAAATTTGTACAACCAATTCTCTTTTACTTAACAATTTTGGTAATTAATTTACTAAATTCCAGCAAATCCTATTCAATTACTTCCCCCGTCACTTTCTTATCTCTTAATTCCCTATTAATTTCCTTTTAATTTTCTTTTAATTCAATTCCCTATTAATTCCCTATTAATTCCCTATTAATTCCCTATTTATTCCCTATTAATTCACTATTAATTCCCTATTAATTCCCTATTAATTCCCTATTAATTCCCTATTAATTCCCTATTAATTCCCTATTAATTCCCTATTAATTCCCTATTAATTCCCTATTAATTCCCTATTAATTCCCTATTAATTCCCTATCAATTCCCTATCAATTCCCTATTAATTTCCTATTAATTCCCTATTAATTCCCTATTAATTCCCTATTAATTCCCTATTATTTCCCTATTAATTCCCTATTAATTCCCTATTAATTCCCTATTAATTCCCTATTAATTCCCTATTAATTCCCTATTAATTCCCTATTAATTCCCTATTAATTGCCTATTAATTCCCTATTAATTCCATATTGATTCCCTATTCATCGCCTGTTTATTCTCTATCAATTATAACAATTCCTCGAACGGACAATGGGCAATTTTGCCAATATGAATAAGATATATGCCAAATGAAAGACATTGATAAGGAGATTATTTGTTTTCATTATGACTTTCCTTTATTATCTGTTCGTTCCGAGTTATATTATAGTGAATGTGACAAAACACAGGTTTCCTTATTTTTTTTTTTGTTGGAAACCGTCCTTATTAACTCTGGAAGATTTTTTGGCAGTAAGTTCTCACAACATAGATTCTTCCTCTCCCTTCTCCCCCTTCTTTCCTTTCCCCCTTCTCACCCTCCTTCTTCCCCCCGACAGGTGCGGGGTCTATGGGAATATTTTCATTAAAGGTAAGAGACAAAGTCAAATATAATAAATATTTTTGAACGCATAATATTTTTTTCAATAAGTTTATTACACATATGGACCTATTGCCCCCCTCCCTTTTTCTGACGTCCATGCCGTAGATCCTCCGTTTATGCTTGACCCACCTATAAACCTTTAATCGTACTGTTTTTTGAAAAATAATGTTTTATTTTGTCCTTATACAGTGAGCATCATAAGTCTTACCCCCCCTAACTAACTCGTTACTGGGGTCTTGTTAGGAAAATCGCCGAGACAGGTCGATTTTTGAATTCTACAATGTACATTTTTGCATGATTAGTTTACCCTTAATTTCATCCCTTACTGGAGGGTAGCAACCCTTTCGAAAAATTTAAATGGCATGGGGTGGTGAGTGATAGCTCATTTGAAAGGGGGTTTTATTCTCTATTCAACCGTGCAAAAAAATTTGAAATTTGCTTCATTACGTGTTGATTTATTAATGTTTAAAAATAACAAAACCTCACAAAATAGGAAAGCAACTACACTAACAGTGACCTAATGGCAAAAAGTCTTACTTCACGTCTGAACCAAAACCGAAATCATACAGGGCCGAATTTTAATTCTAAGGATGAGTGCGCTACGTTAATGTCCGTTATTCTGAAACAACAATTAGTCGAGAATTAATGAAGCAAATTTCAAATTTTTTTACACGGTTGAATAGAGAATAAAACCCTCTTTTAAATGAGCTATCACCCACCACTCCATGCCATTTAAATTTTTCGAAAGGGTTGCTCCCCTCCAGTAAGGGACGAAATTAAGGGTAAACTATTCATACAAAAATGTACATTGTAGAAATCAAAAATCGACGTGTCTTGGCGATTTTTCCTAACAAGACTCCAGTAACGAGTTAGATAGGGGGGTAAGACTTATGGTGCTCACTGTATATGCATAAATTGTTTCCGCATTCCCACACTAGTCTAGAACTTATAGATCGCATTACTTTTTACAAATATTTTATGTGACCGTTTGATTAAGATAAAAAAAAATAAAAATCGCCAAAGAAAAAACCGTTAATATTTTATTAATTGCAATAAAGTATCGCGTTGCTGCTGAAGCGTACGTACTTCATCCAATGGTTGTATATATGATGATGTTGCTGTTTGTTTTTAATTATTTGACGGAGCTATTCCTTGTCATTCTTGTCTGGTAACCCTAACCAATACAATTTAAATAGACAAAGCATCAAATATGATACATCATTCAGAAGAATTCTTTTTGTGAATTATTTATTTTGTTTCTTCTGAATTTAGCGGCATCTAGCGAGAGACTTGAAACTTAATTTGAAAGTTAACAAAACATAAATTAATTAAATATGAACCTAAATATTTTAAAACCGTTGTAAAGCTTTAACATTAAGAAATACATTCTTGATTAATTTACAGGAGAATCAGTTCATTAGATTAATATATTAATATTTTATAGATAATTTGTCGTTTAAAAGTATTACATACAACAGTACTCACCTCCATTTCTTCTATCCGATCCATCGAATAGTAGGCTACTTGATACCCGTTAAGACCAGAATGATTTCTGCTTTGCCACGACACCAAGACAGAAAAGGGTTGGATATCCTGAATACCTAGTTTAACAACCATGGGTTGATCACAAAATTGTTCAGGATCTAGTTCCAGAAAGACCCTTCCTCGAAGTTCTGGAGGATGTTCACACCGCAGTTCGAGAGCGTCCGTTCGCTCCACTAGCTTTTGGTGGTCGCGCAACCACTCCCAGAGTTCTTGCGAGTCACAGCTGCATGACAAAGGGTTTTCTATAAAAGGAAAGTAGGTTTCAGATTAGTTGCACTACTTAATAATCAGTTCTGTAGATTCTATTCATTCATTAGAAAATTAACTTTTCCCGCTATCGTCTCGGTAGCCCAATGTGTCAAGTGGTCGTTTATTCAATTGATGCCCTTTAGTTGAAAGGGACAAGCTGGTTTAGATCTCACAACAGACTATAAGTTTTTGATTAATTTGCATGGTTCGTTGTAAAAATTATAGGTTCTGTATTAGCAGAACATGGATTACTGTACCTATGATGCTGGATGGAGTTTTTCCATTTGTATGTCAAATGCACTATCAATAAATCACCAATTCGGAAAATAAACACAAAAGCTCTTCTTTCAGAGCTTCAGGGGTTCAACAACAAAGTGAATTTATACGGAAAGTGTTTTTATTATTATTACTCCTCACTTTTTTATTCTTGTCAGCTTCAAGATTAAAATAATTAAGATTAAAATAATTATACAACAATTAGTTTAAAATCACTAAACTCTAATGTTATTCATTATAATTACATCTTTTAACAAATCGTGAAATTTGTTTAAAAAAAATTAATCAGTCAGAGATAATTGGCTTTAAATTGTAGTATAACTAGTAAATAGAGCAGTAATGTAGAGATCAATTAATTAAAAAGCAACAAGTTGGTTGTTTCTACTCTACTTTCTAATTGCCTATTTCTAGCTGCCTATCTATAGATGCCTATCTCTAGCTGCCTTTTTTTACATCATGTTTTTCCAAAGTACTTATGGTACGTTCACATTACCACTAATGTTTTGGAGATAATGTTTATTTATAAGTTCCAAATAATCGATTTTTGGAAAAAGTTAATCATTCTCAGTTGGAAAAATTAGAGTAAGATTTATTCTATTTGTAACTAGAACCAGAACTGTTGTCTTCTGCTTTGTGTCAGATGGCAATGTAAGAATTTAATTTAGGTTTAAAGCAGTCTGATTACTAGGTCTACATACACTCTGTTTATTCTAAAAATGTTTACTTAAAAGCTGTATGATCAAAAAGTTTATAGTAAATAAAACACAGTTACCTTCAGTCCTAAGGCTCCTGATTTGCGTCTCCAATGGTCTAAACGCATTCAAGGGGATATTTTCTAGATAGTTTCTACTTAAATCCAAAGTCCTTAATTTCTTTAAGGGTTTAAATGCATCACTTGACACTAGAGATATCCAATTTCCAAAAAGGTACAACTCAGATAAATTTTCGAGATTCTGAAAAGTACTTTTGCTGATCCTTCCAATTTGGTTAAACGAAATATCCAGAATCTGAAGGGACTTCAAATCGGCTGGAAATTCTTCCAAATCTTTTAGACGATTGTGAGTGAGATTTAGAATCCTTAATAAGTTTAATCCTTGCAGTCTTTCTTGGGGCAATAGTTCTAATTCGTTTACGCCTAAATCTAATGTCAATAAATTGGGTAGATTGCCAAATGCTCCTGGAGATATCCTGGATATTCTATTTTGTCCTAAAAATATGTGCAGTAAAGCTGGAAAGGACTCAAAGTCCTTACTTGTTACAATGGATAAATTAGTGTAACTAATATGGATTTCTTCCAAGGATGGGTATCGACTAGTCGAGGTTATGTCGTGAATTCTAACCAATGGATTTTCTGTCAGATTTAACCAGTTCAATCCCGGCAAAGTTGTTTCTGATAATGCCGAATTAGGTATTTGCTTGAATCGATTACTGGATAAATCTACACGTCTTAGTAGTGGAGAATGGTGGAAAAAATTGGCCGGTAGTCCTACTAATGAATTGTTGCTTAAATCCAATGAAAGCAACTGTGTTAAATTTGTCGAAGCAAACCCTGATAAGGATGTTATGTCATTGCATTTTAAATCTAGCTCACGTAAATTGGGTAGGCCATTCAATCTAGAAACTTCTATTACAGACAGTTTATTTAAAGCCAGTGTTAAAACTTCCATTGTCGATATGTTCAGAAGAGCCGTATATGGCAGATCAGCAAATGAGTTACTAGACAATTTAAGTTCTTTAAGGACGTTTAAATTTGAAAACACTTTGTATCCTACGTCCGATATAAAGTTGTAACTCAAGTCTATGTGCAGTAAATTTTTGTTTTTAAAAAACAATTCGTCTGGAACTCTGGATATTTTACAGTGATCCAAGAATATTGTCTGCAACGACGGCAGACCGTTTAAAGAAAACCCGTGCAAAGTACTAAAATTATTGTTGGACAACTTCAACACTCTTAAACCAGGAATATCCAACGCACTTAAATCCTTAGAAGTTAATTCGTTTACAGCTAAATTCAGTTCGTTTAAGTTATTAAGTCCTCTAAAAGCACCACTATCAATTCTCTGAATAGAACAATTGTACAGATTAAGATTTCTAATAGGTAATCCTTCTTGAAGAATATTATCGTGTAGCACTATTAAAGGATTACATGACAGATCAAGTATCCTTAGCTTCTTTAAATTTGTTAAAGATTGCGGTTCGATGCTTCTTAACAAGTTCTTCGACAAGTAAAGTTCTTCCAACTCGAATAGCTCAGAAAAAGTCGTTTGGGTTATCTGAGTTAGGTGATTCAAACTTAATTCTAAAAACTTTAGAGCCTGCATGGGTTCGAATGATCGATCTTCTATATAGGAAATACTATTATTGGTGAGGTAAACTCGTTGAATCATTAGTAAGTCTCTAAATAGTAAACGTGTGATTCGTTTTAGACGATTGTGTCCTAGCCACATGATCTGTACACTAGACTGGCCTCTTAATGTGTCATTATGTAATGAGGTGATGCCATTAGAGCCAAGTTGAATTGAAACTAATGAAGGTGATTCATGCATGAATACATCTCCTAAATCGGTTATAACGTTGCCTTGAAGGTTTACGTGTTGAAGACACTGCAGAGTTCGAAATGCTCCGGAATCTATCGACGCTATTTCGTTATTTTGTAAGTGCAGTTCTAGCAGGGAAGGTAGTGGGTCAAAAACGCCTCTAGTTATAGATTGGATTCTATTATTGTGCAATCTAATTTCCCGTAAGTTAACAGTTTTTTGAAACATTCTTGGTTCTAAATGCGATAACCAGTTGCTATCTAAACTTAGCGATGTTAGATTGGTGTTTTCATGAAATAAATTATTAGGTATATGAGGTATAAAATTGGAGCTCAAATGTAGCTGAGATAAATTAATTAAACTATCTAAGGCTTCAGGATCGACTCTTCTTATTGCGTTTTGTTGAAGATATATAACAGATAGGTTTGAAGAATCCGTAAAAGCGTCTGACGGGATTTCTAGGATATTGTTTTCTGATAGAAATACTTCTTTTAGATCTGGAAGATAGGCGAACACTCCATTAATATAATGGACGTGATTATGGCTGAGATCTATCGATCGTAATTTCTTGTTATTTTGGAAGGAAACTTGATCCAAATATACAATTTTATTGTGGCTCAAATCGAGTGACTGGAGATCAACAAGTGCTGAGAAAGTGTTTTGATGAACAGTCTCTATGGCGTTGTAGTAAAGTGATAAAGTACGTACTCCGGGAAATATTCTAAAAGAGTGCTCCTCTAGTTTTTCGAAATTGTTAAAACTGAGATCGAGGTAAAGGAGGGAACTGAGTCTTGAGTAGGTATCATCTTGAATGGCATTAATTTCATTCCAGGCTAGACGCAAGTGTCGCAGCCTTTCGAGTCGTCTCAGCGATTTAATTGGAAAAGTCTTGAGTTTGTTTTCAGCCATGTCTAATTCCGATAGTGAGTCTTCCAATCCTGCGAACGCGTATTCGGATACCTGGAAAAGTAATTTTCATATTAACCCAATTTAGCAAAGTGGAAATTGCTTCGGGAAGCGATTATTTGAGGGAATGAATGTGAGGTATTAAAGTATCATACTTTCTAAGGGACGGCTGTCACAGACAGGGTGATTTACGAATAACTATGTCATTCGTATTTACAAAACATTTTTAAATAGTTACCTACGAGTATATAATTAAAGATAAAATCTTCAATTTAGAGAAAAAGTAGAGTTGGACAAAGATGTGATTTTTCAATCACCCTTTGAAATGTTAATGTGATTGGTAAAATTAACATAAATGAGGTCATATTTCCTTAAATTAAATATTCGTCAATTTTTTTGTTTTTGAAAACATTTAAGAAAGACATGTAAAGTTTACCAAGATTAAAATAATTTAATGACAATTCGTAAAACGTTGCCAAACATGGACATTCATTATAATGACGTTAATATCTTTAAGGTTTTACGTGTGTATAAATTTAAAAATGCTCTGCGAGTTAAGTTATAAGAGTTTTACTCATCTTAACAAAATGACAAAAAGGATATAATGATGTAAAATTACATTTTGAACAATTTCTAGCTTTGGGCTACACCTAGGTATACATTATCTGGTGACCAAATAACAAAAACAGGACAAAAAACAAAAAAATGTGTAATTATTACGCATTATGTAACTAGAATAGTGTTAGGCGACAGTTAAGCAGTATTGTCTCCGGTCTCGTCGTGGATGTATGACGGCTGGTCGGTTCACCATGGGTCGTGCCACAATGAGACTTAGCGGACGACGTGTAATGAATGACAGGGAATGAGTGTATGATGAATGGAAATAGAATAATCTTTAAATGGTTGCACAATAAGCAGCAGGTTGCAGTGCCGCCACGCTACAAACGGATTAGGGTGTTAGCATGGAAGGTCTGAAGAGTGGAATACAAAACAAAGTTGTCCATTTAGTGCGTTTTACTTCAATATTTAAATTTGTGTTATCGATATTGTTACGTTGGTTTTTTCAACTCAACTTTTTCAATAATTCTACTATATAACTTTCAATATTAAGGTACAACGTCTATCACAAAACTGAACTGTGACGTCAGTAGCACCGACTTTTATATCTCGCTTTGAACCTTTTCGAACCATCCAGATGTTTCTTGACAGGGAAGAACATTTATAGACTATTATTATCTCTTCTTTTATTCATTCCTTTACTTATGACGACCGCAGCACACTGTCGCGTCGTTCGGGCCAACTGCAGTCGCGTGCGGGAAAGTAACACTTTCCGCACTTGTTAGGAAAATAACTATTTCGATTCGTTCAAAAGGCTCTCCGAAAAGGTACTGTGTCGTTTTACCTCGGCCTCTTCTTTTGGTCCTTTTCCTGCAATTGCATAGATCACATTTCTTGCACCAATCTTCTACATCCCATTGGTAATCCAATCAAATCTTTCTCAAATTCGTGTCAGTGTCATTTTAGTACCAAAATGACCACCTGAATGGCTGCTATGAAGCTTCTCTAACACACTTCTGACAGTATGTTACGATCAGATTTTGCAATTTTTATAATTACGTCACTTTATTAAACAATTTCGTTTATTTTCATTTCTCTGAAATAAATAATATTTATTTGATAATTTCAAAATTTTAATCTTACTACTTTTGTTTTCTGAGTGTAGAGTAATTTCTAGAATAATCCAAATATATTCATATCAGCTGTTTTCGACAGACTACGACTTAAACGATAGATACGTTTTTGTTGAGGATTAGTAACTCTGTAATTTATAAATCGATTATGGGGTAGCGTTCGATATTATTTTAATTTTAAGGATGTACATTTTGTACTATAATTAGTAAATGTTTTATAAGAGGTTAATAATTAGTTCATCTGTATTAGGATTTAGTTGATCCAGCAGATAACAATATTAATTGTTGTTAAATAACTCGTTGTGGTTATTTATCGATGTATCGGAATGTAATCGATTATCGATTTGTACTATGGTCCGATTCGAAACTGTTTGCATTTGTAAATATCGAATTGTTTGGTTAGAGTAATTAGAAATTACGCATTTTTCGTTCTTTTCCAAACTTACCAGCGAATGTAGAGGGTCATTATTTAGTCAGTGTGTGTGTTCCTGTTATAATTTTATGCATTTGTAGAGTGTTTTGGTATTGCATAATAATTAAAACCGCCCTTAGTGTGTGGGATTGCGGGATTTGAACACCACACATATATATTTTTTAATAATACAGTTGTATTCTGGATTTGGCTAATGACGCAGTTGGAAAGCTGGCCGGTAAGTTTTTTTTTGTCACTTTTTTTGTGTATCTTCATAGAACCCGTGTTTTTAGGAGCGTTCAGTACATCGTGTTAGTATCAAGTTTTATACCAAGTTTTTGTACGAATGTATGTACAATTACGGTTTTGGCAATGATTTGTCCTTGGATGTCTACCATGACAATGGAGAATATTTTATGGAATTTGATCATATTTGTGATGTTGTATCATGCATATATGATGTCCTGTTAATTGGATTTTCTTTGATTTGGATTGGATGTCTTCCATTCTAAGAGTTTAGTTGTCGAATGGTGTACAATGAGTCCATGTAGTTTGCGGTTACATCTATAACATAGAGCCACCAATAGTACCATTTTGATGTCCACATAAGTATCTATACTTAACGAAAACAGAGTCTTGAATCTTCGGATACTCCGTGGATTGTTTATCTACTGATTAAGCTAAGTAATTTTTTATTTTATATAATTTTAATATGAATAATGATGTTATATTTTCAGGCACAGCTCTGATACTAACTGTACAATTTCTGACATGCCTGCTCTGATTTCTCTAGGTTTACTATGAGAAATTAACATTGATTGATTCGGCACCTGAATGTTGATGATATATTTTTCACGATAATATTGAATGAACGATATTTGAGTGTCATCTTTTTTTGGGAAATGTACTACTCGGGGTAGTGTTAAAATCTATATCATCGATTTTGTAAGTCTTATTATTATAAGTCAATACGATGCTTCCGATAATTTTAGACTGAAATTCGGCTTTAACATTGTTGCTTTGGCATTCCAAAAGCATATCATATACATTGTCCATTCTCATGTGTTAAAATTTTAATTCGCAATTCATTAAGATATTTTTCTCATGTTGTCTCATTGAAGTGAGAAAATCTAGACTCATAGGTTTTTGTTTTGGCTCCAACGAATTAGATTTGGTTATTTTCAGTAACTTTAATACTGAATTGTTTTGTCAAATTTTACATACAAGATTCGTTTGAGTTGAAATCTATTTAAATTTGATGTAACTTTATTTTAGGATTTAATAAGTTGCAACTTATAGAACATATGGAAAACTTTAATTTAATATTTTATTTGTAAGCTGCTGCATGATCCTTTGTATAGGACTTAATGTATTTATTGTATTCTACATATTCGACTACTCGACTAATGTAAAAATGTATATAATTTTGTAATTATTATCTATAATAAGAACTAATCGGTTCTATCTTTGTGATTACTTTCATGTCTCTTAAGTTTCTTGCCGAAGTCTGTTTTAAAAGGGTTAAAATAAATTTGATTGATTTGCACAGTTATTATAGTTTTATTTATATTTAGGTATTGGAGAACTTAAATTCTGGCCCGATCTTTAGTACACCAACTAAAGTTAGGAGAACCCAAGAACCCTTGTATAGTCTAATATTCACAGCTACCCTTGGAAAATAACCGGTAGCAAGTATTACTTGGCGGACTCGTGTTATCCATCGGGGCTTTCCCACTTTCGGTGAAATAAGCCATCGTAAAGATACATGGTGGAATCAAGGTAGGTAGGTCTGACTCCATTTTTGAGACATCCTCGGACAACCTTCAAATCATTGTCTTTTGCCCCTTTCTCTTTTGCTGTAATTATGTTTAATTCTACTTCCTGTCTGGCTTCGAGAGATTGATCTAGGTGACTTCCTGATCTAATTCCCCGATTTTTTATTCACAGAACGAGCCCTGCTTTTACAGGTTCTTTCCGGAATTAAAGAAACTTTTGTTTTCGTTTTAGCTGTTTAGTCGCATATTTTGCAGGACGTTTAGTATTTGTGGGGGAGTATGTTGGGGAAACGTATTGGCCTTTTCACTTTCCTGGAATATAATCTTTCAATTTTCTGCGAGAAGATCTAGATAAGAGTTTCGCTGCTTAATATTTCCGGGGTAGAAACTTTTTTCCTCGGCATCTTGTGTGGTGTTGTAGCTGAAGAGCTTGCTGCATTTGCACATCTTGTAGTCCATCAATAAATGCCTGCATGTCAATTTGTTCTTGGAAATATTTAAGCGCCTTGTAGTTTTATAATATTTTCTTGGTAATTTAAACCGTAACAATACTTTTACTTTATTTTACAAATCAAATTTGCTATTTTAGATTAAAAGTTTTTTAAATCTTTTCAAAACTAATATATGTGACTTTTAATTTACACTTTGCCATCTTATTTAATTTGACATGTTTTTCTTCTATACCTGGATGAGGACCTTTGGCCGAAACAAGTTACGCTACAGTTAAAATACTATGTTCTGACTTTCTCCTTTATTTATTTCTTCACCTGTCTATACTTTCAACATGGTTTCAATTTAATTAAAAAGCATCAGCGTTATGGCATTGTTTTGTTTGTTATTCTTTGAGCAGGTCAGTAAAAATGTTTGGAAACAATTGATTTAATAAATGTTTAATGGCTTATATTTAGAATGTTTATATTATTTTTTAGTCCAGCCAACATGTTATTTTGTACATAGGCAGAGCTAGTAAACTAATATTGTCAAACAGTAATTAAAACTTAACCTTTTCTGTATACTGTTCGATAAAAGTGTCGGTGCAATTTAAATGTAGATTAATCGACTGGAATCAGTCTTTTCATGTGGAATAATTAAATTTATAGGTTCGAATTACTGATTCGCTCAGGAATTATATACTAATTGTTTAACACAGTTAACACTTTTATTAAACCAATAGGG